GTATTTTTGCAGTTCTGTTATTTCCATTTGGTTCTTTTTAATGGCTTCTATAAGGAGCTTTCAAAAAGTACAAGGAAAACTCCATTTTTCCATGTACTTTTTGAAGTGCCCTCATAGTTCTTTGCTAATATTTTCTACGTTATGTTTCAAGAGAATTTGTAACTGATTATGGAAGCATTTTTATGGTTGCTACTTTAAAGTTGTTACCAGATAATTACATCTGATTAATCTTGGTGTTGGCATCATCAGTTGGTTATCTTTCCCCATTCAAGTTTTGATTTTACTGGTTTTTCATGTGTACTTTTTAACTGTATAGTAGACCTTCTTCCCAGTTAAATAGTTTAGAAAGCAGTGGCCCTGGTGAGGTTTAGCATTAGCCTACTTTTATGGACTGTTGTTTCAATGGCAATTTAATTTTCAGTCTTTGCAGTGTTTTCATCTGCTTGGTTTACCTGGTGCTGCTGGGGCTCCCACTGGTCCCTGAAGGCACTACTTGAGGGTGTTACCAAGCCAGGGCAAGCCATCGAATGTTCTTCGGTGGGGAAGGAGACTCTCAGATCTGTCATGGGAGAACATGTCCCTTAGTCACTAATTCTTAGCAGGGATCCCAATTCATTCCCTTTACTTGTATTGCTGGACTTGCCTGGTGACATCAGCAAGACTCCCACTCTATCCACAGAGTAAACAGCGGACCCTAGAAGTCCCAACAGTGCTGTTCTCCAGCCAAAACATAGATTCTGTATGCTTCTGATTCCTCTTCTGAATAAGTTTGGGGTGACTGAAAAATGAATGATGCTCAGTCAGTCTGTACACCCATCTTCAAGAGAAGCTGGGGAAACAAGTTCTGGTTTCTGCCTGGGAGAAATGGGACAACTGGTGTGGAAGCAGCCCCAAACATGTTAAGTGCCATCGAGTCAGTTCTGACTCACAGCTGCCCTGTACAGGGTTTCTGAGGAGCGGCTTCTGAGTCCAGTGCATTGACCCACAGCACCGGACACCAGGACTCCCATTTGGGAGATGTAGGAGGTGTCTAAGTGTGACAAAGGTCTTCCATATATGGACATATAGTAGAGTTACTTTAGTAAATATTCAAGAGCCAAGTCATATTCCAGAACCTGTATCTCTGCTAGTATGCTGGTTCTCCACCAAAGTAGGGTCTGCTCTATGCAGTGACGAATGTGGACTCGGTTAGGTGTTTTGACAGATTATCAAGGTGTTTCCTGAGCCTGGCAATGTGAGTGTAGGCTGTCTCTAAAACTTCACATGGTATTTCTCTTAAATGATTCTTTCAATGTGGTAAGTCTCCTGTTGAAGGTAGAAACTATCAGTGAAGAACATGAGTAGACTATACTTATGGATGTAGTAGCTCCAAATACCAACAGAGAGAGAATGAGTCTTCACATCAAGTATCAATGCTATCCCCTCTGTATACAGGGTAGATAGGGACGGGCAACTTAGACATTGGCTACCTAAAATGAGGGGGCAATAAAGGCACAAAGTGACTGACTTACAAGTTTGCAAGAGGGAGTTTAGTTTAAGAGTGAGAGAAAAGAAAGGAAAAAAAAAGAAAGCTCACAAGCATGTGAAGCACTGCAGGGTCTGATATCCATAAAATAATATTTGGGCTTTTTTACTGGAAAGGAGGGAGTGACGAAGAAAGGGAAAGAGGGAAGGAGGTAGGGAGGAAGGAAGAGAAAAAAGGAGAGAGAAAGGCAGGGAGAAAGGGTACTTGCAACAAATAAAGACTCATGTTCCTTTAGTATTGGGGAAAAAGAGAACGTAAGTAGATGACCTGGATGAAGCTTAAATACTTAAGCTGAGTGAAATAAGCCAGACCAAAAAAAAAAAAAAAAAGAGAGAGAAGCGTACATACTATATGTTTCTGTTTATATAAAGCTCTAGAAATGCAAATAGATTGTACTGACTGACTGCCTCGGATGAAGAGGGCATGGCACAAGGGATGTGGGGAAGGATTAAAAAAGAGCACCAGGAAACTTTTGTGTGTCATGGATATATCCCCCATCTTGATTTGGGTCGTGGCTTCATTGTTGCATACGTGTCAAAGCTTACCAAACTACATTATAAATACATGCAACTTACTGCATGCCAACTGTACCTAAATAAAGCTGGATCATGAAAATAGGAAACTGGAGGATTGCTGCAGTTAGATTGTGGTCTTGATGAAGAATATTGAATATTCTGTGAACTGCCAGAAAAATGAACAAATCAGCCTTAAAAAGAAATACTATCAGTATGTTCCTTAGAAAAAAAGATGGTGAGATTTTGTCTCACTTTGGACACAGTATGAGAGACCAATCACTGGAGAGGCACAGCCTGGTTGGTAAAGTAGAGTCAACAATGAAAAAGGGAGAGCCTCAATGAGATGGATTGATACCCTGGCTACAATGGTCATCCCTCCCATTGTGAGGATGGCACAAGACTGACCAACATTTCATCAGGTTGCTATGAGTCAGAGTGGACTTGACAGCACCTAACAAAAACAACAAAGCAGTTTTTGTTTTTCAAAATCATGATGAGATGAATGTCTATATGCTATTTTCTCAATTCCAGTTGTTTCTCCCCCACCCCCAATAACATGGGGACTATAACATCTATCATAATTTTGGTGTGATGACTGAGTAGGAATTAAAAGGGTGACATCTTCCCTTTGATTCAGCTAAAAGCCTTAGCTTCCTCCTTTCTCCTACTTTCTCATCCAATCCTTTGCCATCTCCCCTGGATGATGTAATAGAGTGGGTGTGGTGGAAAAGAAATCAGCTTCTAATATTCTAGGTGTTTAAAGGCCCCCAGAATTTAAACATTCGAAGGGAATGACATATTCAGGATTCTAATATTCGGGATAACTCGAGAGTAGCTGAAGCCGATGATGAATACATGAAAAGTCATCATTTGATTTTCTCTACTTCCATATATGTTTGAATTTTCCAGAACAAAGGGTGAAGGCAAACACATAACAGTTCCCCATTTCACTCAGGGGAGAAACCACAGTCGTTATACTTCCTCATGATTCCCCGCCCTTCCTCATGATTCCTCTCGGGCATCACTTTCCCCTGCTTACCTCCTTGTCCACTGTTGCAGCTTACTGGGCTCCTTGCAGTTTGGGGAACATGCCAGGCACTCTCCAGCCTCAATTCTTTATACATGCTGTTCCCACTACCTCGAACCTGCTTAAACATGACTTTCTCAGTGAGCCCATCCTGACGATTCCACTTAACACACTTATCATCTTTACCTGTTACTTTCTATGCCCCCTTTCCAGTCTCCATAGTAGTTTTCATCTGACATCCTGTATAATTATTTATTTGTTGCTGTCTCCTCCCATTCCTCAGAGTGCAAGCTCCATGAAGTCAGGAATGCCAGCCTGACTTGTTCACAGCATTTAGAACAGTGCACAGTAGGTTCTCGATGAATGAAGGAGCAACATATAAATATTCTAGTGGCATGCTTGGTAGGGAGCAAGCACTATGGGAGTCATCATAATCTAAAAATACCTCTTTGAGTCATTTGATAAATCTAATTGTTCAGTCAGTACCTTCTGTCCTGCTCTTTGTAAAATGAGAATACGACTGACATTTTGGTTAATTCCTAGGGAGTAACAGGGAGGGAGGGATTTCCATAGTTTTTGGAGGTGGGCAGACCTGGTTGAATTCAAGGACCTGCTGGTTGGGAGAGCTGGAGATGGTCAAAAGGACAGGAAGTAACATTGCTGAAACCACAAAAAGGGAGGTGACTCAGTACTGACCCAGCCCTACCTTCTCCCCCCCACCAGTCCCATTCCTCCAAGTCTGGGGTTATAAACAAGTGACTGAGAGGAATGATGGGCGGGGGCACAGCAGTGCAATCCAGTGCCCCAAGGGATAAATTTAACCCACAGCTGCAGTCTCTGGCACTTAGGGAATGGGTTAATCTTGGTGGCTGAGGCTGATGTGTGTGTAGGGGTGAAGAGGTCAGGAGTCCAGAGCAGGGTGGGCATTGGGACTGGCTGTCCAGGGTCTCAACCAGGACCCCTCAGGCCACAAACAGGGTTCAGGAGACCTGAGCCAAGTACGGCTGTGTACCGTCGGTAGGCTCAGACCACGCCCAGTAGAATAATGAACAGAGACAGTTAAGTCCTGGAATATGAATTTCTTAAGAATGTGACTTTTTAAGTATTAGAATCCAGAACGTCTCTCCCATAGAATGTTAAAACTCTGGGCCTTTAAACACCTAGAATATTAGACTTCTAGATAATTAATTGATTAACAAACACCATAGTGTTATAACCCTAGAAGAGTGGACCTCCAGGAACACAGACCCTCAGAGGTTCTGAACCTCAGCAGACTTGAATGGAGGCTCTTAGAGCCTTCCCAACCCCTCATTATGTATGAAGGTAAAAACCAAGGCTCATCAGAGACACCTGCCCCACCCCAGATCCCACAGGACAGCAGTGACCTTGTTCAGTTAAGTGCTGTGTTGATTTCTTGAGTCCAAAGGAGGACTCAGGAATGGGGCAGAAAGGGCAGTTTCATTTTAAAGGTGGGGCACCCAGGCCCTCACAGGTTGAATGCCATGGCCAACTTCACAGCAGAATCCAGGGGTGGAGGGAGTGGGTGGGATAAACTAGTAAGGAAAGAGACACGTGGGCCGAAAGACACATAAAATCAAGAAACAAAGGAGATCCTGGAGGAAGGGGCTCCAATGCTTCCCCCTCCCCGACTGACGGTCAGAGCTTGCCCAACCAAGGGTATCGCCCACTGAGGAAGCCAGAGCCAAGCCCTGCTGTGCTCCTTTTAGAAATGAGGCAGCGAACCCCTCATCTTCACGGGGGAGGGCCCAAGCGCCCCTCCACTCCCACGCCCTGTCCTATGAGCCCCCGGGACTGAGTCAAGGCTGCTGGGGAAGAGGGCCTTTGCCCAGCTGTCACGTCCACGTCACCTAAGGAGGCCAGGCTACTCGCCTTACAGGGTCTCACCTCTATATATAACTTGGTGAGAACAGCTGCTCAGACTGAATGTGCCCCAGCAGGAGGACAGAGGAGCACCAAACGAAGTCTTTTTTTCCAGTCGCCACACCCTAGGCTACCCACCATGGCGCTGGGCCTGGAGCAGGTCGAGGAGCAGCGCCTGTACCAGCAGACACTCCTGCAAGACGGGCTTAAAGACATGCTGGACCACGGCAAATTCCTGGACTGCGTGGTGCGGGCCGGCGAGCGTGAGTTTCCATGCCACCGCCTGGTGTTGGCTGCCTGCAGCCCCTACTTCCGGGCGCACTTCCTGGCTGAGCCTGAGAGCTCAGGCGAGCTGCGCCTCGAAGAGGTGTCACCCGACGTGGTGGCCCAGGTGCTGCACTACCTGTACACGTCGGAGATCGCGCTGGATGAGGCGAGTGTGCAGGATCTGTTCGCCGCGGCGCACCGCTTCCAGATCCCATCCATTTTCACCATCTGCGTGTCCTTCCTGCAGAAGCGCCTGTGCTTGTCTAACTGTTTGGCTGTCTTCCGCCTGGGCCTCCTGCTCGACTGCGCGCGCCTCGCCGTGGCCGCCCGCGATTTCATCTGCGCGCGCTTCGCGCTCGTGGCGCGCGACGCCGACTTCCTTGGGCTCTCAGCCGACGAACTTATCGCCATCATTTCCAGCGACGGCCTCAACGTGGAGAAGGAGGAGGCGGTATTCGAGGCTGTGATGCGGTGGGCAGGCAGCGGCGACGCTGAAGCGCAGGCGGAGCGTCAGCGCGCGCTGCCCACGGTCTTTGAGAGCGTGCGCTGCCGCCTGCTGCCGCGCTCCTTCCTGGAGAGCCGCGTGGAGCGCCATCCGCTAGTGCGTGCCCAGCCGGAACTGCTGCGCAAGGTGCAAATGGTAAAGGATGCGCACGAGGGCCGTATTACCGTGCTGCGCAAGAAGAAGAAAGAGAAAGCGGCAGCCGGGGCCAAGGCGACTGACAAGGGCTCAGCCAAGGCAGAGAAGGAGGAGGAGGAGGAGGAAGGCGAACGTGTGCTACCTGGGATCCTCAACGACACTCTGCGCTTCGGCATGTTCTTGCAGGACCTCATCTTCATGATCAGCGAGGAAGGCGCCGTGGCCTATGACCCAGCTGCCAATGAATGCTACTGTGCCTCTCTCTCCACCCAGATCCCCAAGAACCACGTCAGTATCGTCACCAAGGAAAACCAGGTCTTTGTGGCTGGCGGCCTCTTCTACAACGAGGACAACCAAGAGGACCCAATGAGCGCTTACTTTCTGCAGGTGCTTGGCAGTCCAAGATCTGGGCACTGGGGGCGGCCTTGTTTGTGTGTGGGGGGGGTGGGGGGCGTGGCAAGAGAGGACTTCATCTACTTGTAGGGAATGTCACTTGGTCTAGGATAAGATGTAGTCTAGGGAGACTTGCCTGAAATGCCTGGGTTTCGGGAGGTTGTTAACTGCTGGCAGGTGTGTCTAGTTCGAGGCCCTAGCCGTGCACCTGAGTTGAAGCAGGCTCAATGAGAAGGAGGAGCCATGCCCGTGCAGGGGGCTCAGGCAGAGGTCTCTGCATGAGATCCAAGGGGACCGTTCTGTGTAGTCCTCCCATTGTACGGATGGGGAAACTAAGGACTGGTAGAGGGCCCAGTTCAAGTAGGGGTGTGACTAGGAGATCTTAGAGAGCAGGGACAGTTTCCTGGAGACGAGTTTGACCCTTGCCAGTAGCTTGGAATTTTAAGGCATGGAGAGATTGGTGGTATTTTGGGGGGCTGGTAAGGGAAGATGGTGTGAGCAAGTGACAGACAGCAAAGGATAGTCTGGAGAATGAGGTGCTTAGTGAGGCCTGAACAAGTGTTAGAGGGATGAGGGGCAGCTCAGTGGGCCCCAGAACCCCGTCCTCAGCTCCACATTGTTGGGAGCCCCCAACAAAAATGACGACCTTTGGTTTGGGCACCTTTGGTTTGCTGTGGTACCTCAACAAACCCACAGGAGACCTCACCTGTTCTCAGCATGGCGAGAGGAAAGGACACCAATTAGGGGGGCGTGTCTCCAGACTGCACTGGCTCTTCAAGGGGCCCTGGGCTCCTCAGTGACCAGGGTGGCTGGTGGAGGTGGGCTGGAGTGGTGGGGGCAGTAGCTGATTTTGAACATCCTGCCTGGCCCACAGTTTGACCACTTGGATTCGGAGTGGTTGGGGATGCCACCACTGCCCTCACCGCGCTGTCTCTTTGGCCTGGGAGAGGCTCTCAACTCCATCTATGTGGTTGGTGGCCGAGAGCTAAAGGATGGGGAGCTGAGCCTGGACTCGGTCATGTGCTACGACAGGCTGTGAGTGTGGGTGGGGCTGTGCTGCCCTTGAACACAAGAGCCGAGAGGGTGGGAGCTGGTCCTAGACTGTGGGGTTAGGAGCTAGGACCCTGGGTGGTGGGGTGGGAGTGAAAATGAAAGGTCCGGAGATTTCCCGTAACGTACTGGATGCCTCTGGAATATGTGTTGGATGTGTGACTGAATGGAGAGACAGGCTCTGACTGCATGGTCTAAACCCTGTGCATAGCCCGAGCAGAGTGCTGACTCCAACTATCTTCTCCAGGTCATTCAAATGGGGTGAATCAGACCCGCTGCCTTACGCCGTGTACGGCCACTCGGTGCTGTCTCATATGGACCTTGTTTATGTCATTGGTGGCAAAGGCAGTGACAGGTGAGTCTTGGGCCTGGAATGAGGTCCTGGCAGCCAAAGTGAAGGTTAGATCAGAAACAATCTCCCTGAGGTTGCTCAGGGAGGCTGGCAGGGGGACTCCCGGGTTCTGTTCCGCTTCCATCCATTCACTCACTGCCAACGCTCTCACCTTCCACAGGAAGTGCCTGAACAAGATGTGTGTCTATGACCCTAAGAAGTTCGAGTGGAAGGAGCTAGCACCCATGCAGACTGCCCGCTCTCTCTTCGGGGCCACGGTCCATGATGGTCGCATTTTTGTAGCTGCTGGGGTCACAGATACTGGGCTAACCAGTTCTGTTGAAGTGTACAGCATCGCAGACAACAAGTATGACCACTGTCCCATCCACCACTCTAGAGAGGCAGGACCACCTGTATTGTATGGCTCTGGGCCTGTACCTACCCTCTGGGTCTGCCCAGGTGGGAGTTATAGCCCCCATCTTGGGATTCAGCTGTAGAGCTTTAAGTCCCTCATCTCTGGCTAACAGTGAGACAGGGAAGCGAATTTCCTCAGAGGTGGGGCAAAGGCCATGGTCCCTGTGGCCTGCTAGAGAAAGCCCCTGGTGGGGGGTCAGGGGATATCAACTTTCTCATTCAGGGACAAGACTTGGGTATGGGCCTGGGGCTCAGGGCAGTGCTGAGCAAGACAGAAGCTGCCCTTCCCTGGGGAGCAGGTAAGAGAAGACCAAGTAGGCTCAGCCAGCAACAGGGCTGGGGGCATAAGATGCCCCAGGCAAAGAAAAATTGGTGTCAAAGTAGTCAGGAGAGAAAAAACAGCGCCCATCGGAGGAAGGGGCATTGCTGGGGTTGGATGGAGTGTGACAGATGAAGAGAGCTGGAATTGGTGGGCAGTGGGATGGCCAGGTGACCAGCAGGTCTGAGGGATTATGCTGAGGTATGGAAATGCCTGCATGCCAGCTGAGTTAGAGAACAGATTAGAGACTGAAGGATAATGCACTGGACTGTGAGGTCAGTGTGAACCACAAGGTTGGAAGTTCAAACTCACCAGCCGCTCCTCGGAAATCCTATGCAGGGTCGCTATGAGTTGGGACTGACTGGATGGCACTTAACCACAGTGACACCAGGAGGCAGGGCAGCCAGGTGGGTGGCTTGGGCAAGAGGTGATGGGAGCCTAGAGCTAGCAGTACAGTGGGGATGGGGCAGAGGAGACAGTTTGGTGGGCTGGGACTTTTCACACTGTAATGTGCATCTGAGTCTCCAGAGGGAGGAGGAGCTTGTTAAAGTGCGGATTCTGAATCAGCAGGTGTGGGGTGAGGCCTGAGAGTCTGTCTTTTCTAACAGCCCTTCTGGTGTTGCTGGTGCGGTTGCTCCCCAGAACACATGGGGTACTGAGAGTTTAGGAGGAAGATGAAATAGGACTTGTTGAGTGATTAGATGTCGGGGTGAGAGACAGGGAGAAGTGGATACTTCCGAGTGAGGGTCAGGGAGCCATTTATTGCAGAACCACTGAGGTTAGGAAAAGCGAGGGTCCACTTAGGACATGTGGGATCAACGTGCTGAGGGTGGGATGTCCAGGAAAAGCCCACTGTGGCAGAAAGGTCTGCAGCCCAGGAGAGAGGGCCGAGCTGGCAGGGTGTAATCTGGGGGTGGACAGCACACAGAGGGGACAGACTCACTCAGGAGAAGCTGAGGCCCAGCCCTGAGGGACAGAGGCCGATTTGCTATCCAGGGAGGAGTCTGAGAAGGTGTGGATGGAGGCAGGACATGTGTTGAGATGTGGGGAGGCCTACAATGACTGTGGAGTTCCGGGAGAGCAATTTGGGAAGGTGGGGATGGATGAGGTCCACTACAGGAAGGAGGGGAGATTTTGGCTAAAAGAGTAAAGACACCTTGAGAACAACTGGGCTGTAAAGGAAGAAGAGGACTTCAGTGATCCCCGAGGGTGGTGAGTTAGTGAAGGAAGAAGAGGGGCACTAGAGGGATCCACAGTGGACTTCCTGGGCAGTTGGGATGGAATGAAGACAGGAGGGAGAGGGCAGGGGAACAAAGAGGTTGGGATGCTAGGAGGCCCAGGCAGGAGCAGCATGCAGGCGTTCCTGAGAGGCTGCGAAATGAGGTTGTGTTGGAAGTTGGGGGGAGAGAGATTGAAATTTCAGAGGAATGCAGTGGAACTGCAAGGCAAGTCACTGGGCTTAGGGTCACCCACAGTCGCCTGGGTGATGCACTTCCTCACTCTCCCCTTTCTTCTCCCCAGGTGGGCACCCTTTGAGGCCTTCCCACAGGAGCGTAGCTCCCTCAGCCTCATCAGCCTGGTGGGCACGCTCTATGCCCTGGGTGGCTTTGCCACACTGGAGACTGAGTCTGGGGAGCTGGTCCCTACAGAGCTCAATGACATCTGGAGGTGAGTCAAGCCTCAGGGAGGCAACAGGGCATTGTGAGACAGGCCAATGCCCACAGCCCAGGTGCTGTGGCTGGGCAGGCACTTGGCAGATTCGTTGGAGGACAAAGCGGACCCCTCCTACTATGGGGAGGGGCAGCAGGCACCCACCACTCAGCCCTTTCTCTTGAGTCTGTCTGGAAAGTTTGGGTTTGCACATGCGGCACCTCATCTCACTGAGGAGCATCAACAGTATCACAGGAGCTGACCCCAAGCTTAGGGAACAGACCCACAAGAGCAGACCTTTTGGGGTTGTACCCAACCACCCCTTCCCTGACACGTCCCACCCTGGACTCAGCTGACTTAACTCTCCATCTCCCTACCATCTCCCCACCCCCAGGTATAACGAAGAGGAAAAAAAGTGGGAGGGAGTCCTGAGAGAGATCGCCTATGCGGCCGGGGCCACCTTCCTACCTGTTCGGCTCAACGTGTTGCGCCTGACCAAGATGTGACCTGCGCGGGGTGCCCAACACAAGCACCTTTCCATCCTGTAGCCACACAAGCCTGGCTTTGAGGGGTAGGTGGGGGCTGGGGGTGGGGGCCCACCTGCATTTCTTCATGGTGCCTGAGTAGCCGCTTGGTCAGTGAAAGAAAGTGCTGCTCACTGGCAGCCTTCTGCAGGGATGAGAACTTCCAGACCTCACCAGTGTCTCCATATCCCACAGTGGGCTTCTTGGCTCACTAACTGGAACTGTAGGGGGCTGTCCTGGGGCCAGTCTTGGCTCTCTCCCAGCCTGGCGGTATGTGCTGGGTAAATTTCTCCATAGGTCTCAGTCTCCTCACTTGCCTCATGGGGAGTCTCCCCACCAAGCACACTTTGCAGGTGGATAAGTCTCCTTTTTTAAGAAGAATAAAGTGCCTTCCAAGCAAGCAGCTCAAGGTCTGGAATCAGGTGCTTCAAGAGTCTGTACCAGGAGGTTGGAAGACTTGGGACTTCAGTGTGCAACGATTTGGTTGCCACAGCCAGTGGCCCTTCAGACTGTGGAGTCCAGAACCACCAGTTTCTCATCCAGCATGGAGACTGCTGGGGGAAGGGCCAGGGAACAGGCACACTTGGTGGAAAAGTCTTTTATTCTGTGGGTCAGGCCCAGCTGGTCTGGCCTGAGCCTGGGGCCCAGGCATAGCTGATCGGAGCCCTTCCCTCTGCCCGCTCCCATCTACTCAGGCTTTTCTTTGTCCTGCTTCTCTTCCTCCAGTGCCAGGGTTCGCTCACGCTCCTTCACCAGCTGGACACCGCAGTAGGTGACAAACAGGACAGCCAGAGTAGTCTGAGGGAACCCTGTGTGTGGGAGAGGGCATTGATACCTGGGACTTGACCCCATCCTCAGCATCTCTGCTCCCTTCCCAGCCCTCTCCCTATGTGACTGACCCTCCCTACTGAGTCCTTGTGGGGAGGTGAGAGGGGAGAACATTTTAGCAGCTCCCAGTCCTCAAAGTTGATACTAGGCACATTCCCCACCCCCATCCCTGTCCCTCACCTGTGAGCAGCAGGCGCCGGGCAACCAGCTCTGTGAACTCAAGGCTGTTGAGGCTCACAAGGTTGTACATGATGATGGCCCAGAAGTTCACAGCCCCAAAGAGGCCCCGGACCCTGCGGGACATCTGCTCTGACAGAGAGGCCTGCCCCATCCACAGAAGCATTGGCAGCAGGGCAAGAGGCCCAGAGAAAAGAGGACATAGTGGTCAGTGGCCTTCCCACATGGCCACTGAGGCTGGTGGATGTGCTTGGGTCTCTGGGAGTCCTCCAAGCTTGCTGTCTCCCATTTTTAAAAATGGGGAAACTGAGATCCAGGCAGTCAGTGGCCCTTGTGAAGGCTTTAGTCCATACCTAGAAAGGTGGCCCAGAGGTGGGGAACACACAGGCAGAAGGTAGACAGGGCCGTGTACCCACAGGCAAACCACTGCCCGAATAGCCAGGAGGGTGGTGGGGAGAAAGCTAGGGACTGGGGCCGAGTGTGGCTGGACCACTCTAGGGAGCAGCATTGCAGCTCCCTCCCGTGACCCAGCTAACCCAGCCCGAGACTTGCCCTGCTCACCTCGATTTGTGCTAGGGTCCCCGACTCTGCCAGCTTCTGCACCCAGAGTTCAAAGTTGAGACCAAAGCAGTTAAGGAGTGACCACAGATAGACAATGTCACAAGGCCCCAGCCACAGAGTGGTGATAGCAAATGTGGCCACTGAAGCCACCAGCTCTGGGATCACTGCGGAGTGCTCCCCACCAATGTGGTCGTACACGTACCTGCAGGAAAGGCAGGAGAAGGGGCCAATGGCAGTATGGGAAAGAACAAGCATAAGATGGGCAGAGAATGCCCAATAGGGCAGCCCTCCTCTACCCTGTTACCCTGGGTACACTGAACATTCCTGCCCCCAGGTAACTTGCTCCTCCTCAGCCTGTGGACTCCAGATCTTCAGTGATGTTCATTCACCCTTCAAGAGATCTCATCTAGACTTAAGATTTTCAATATTGTCTCTCTGCCAGTGAGCCCAAATCTGTATCTTTGGCAGTTTGTCTCACTGCTGTATCACCACTTGAATGACTGATTTCCCATCCCTACTCAAACCTGCTTTACCTTAGCTCAACTAATGACTCTACCATACATTTGGTTGCTCAGGCAAGAAGCCTTGGTACCGTCTTGGTTTCTCACTTTCCCTCACCACCCAGATGTGATTCAGCAGATCTGATTGGCTGACCTGTCCTGACCATTGCTCTACACCTCCGCTACCACCACCCTAGTCCAGGCAAACAGCAGCTTTCACATAGACTACTGCAGGAGCCGGCAACTGGTCTCCTTGCTTCTGCCTTTGCCCCTTCTCTATAGTCCCTTCTCCACATAGTAGTAGCTAGAGGCATCTTCTAAGGCAGGGATGAAGAACCTAATTTTCTGTCAAAATTTATAACATCCTTTGTGGGCCATACAAAATTATCAACTTAAACATTAGCCTACTATATTTGGTTTCTAAGTGCTGTCAAGTCATTTTCGACCCATAGCGACTCTTTATAGGGTTTCCAAGGAGTGGCTGGTGAGCTTGAACAACTGACCTTGTGATTCAAATGACTTTGCAGTCCAGTACATTAGCCCACAGCGTCACACCAGGACTCCAACATATAATTAACTCACCCCTATAATGACCTCTGGTAACTTACTGGTTATGAATCAGGCTGCTGACCTCAGGGTCAGCAGTTCAAAACTATCAGCCATTTTGCAGGAGAAACATAAGGCTTTCTGCTCCCATAAAGATTAACAACTTCAGAAACCCTGTACAGGGTCACTATGAGTTAGAACAGACTCCACGGCACATAACCACCACCAATGTGACAGCTAGAATTGCGGTTGCCTTGGCAGGACCAGACCAAATAATTTCGAGGGTCTTACATGGCCCGTGGGCTGGACACTCCCCACCCTATAACTCAGATCATAACACTTCTTTGGTTAAACCCTCCAACGGTTTCCACTGCAGTAAATTCAACCCTTTCATTATAGCTAGAAGGTGTCACCTCGTCTGGTTCCCTGACTCATCACCTCTTCCCATTCACAGTCCTCTGACCTTAATGGTCTTTCTGTCCCTCAAACACACGCAGCTGGCTCATGCCTCAAGGTCTTGGCACTTGTTTCCTCTACCTAGAATTCTTCCCTAGATTTCTTCATCACTGAAGTCTCAACTCAAATATCACTCCTTCAGAGAGGCCTTCCCAGACCCCAACTAAAGAAGTATCAAACCTACGGCTAGACTCTAACCCATGATACTATTTGATTTCCTTCCTAACACTACCACTCTAAAATGATGGTATTTATGTGTTTGTTTACGTGTTTAGGGTCTGTCTGTCCCCACTAGACTGTAAACTCCCTGAGTTCAGGGTCTTTGCCATGTTCACTGCTGTATCCCCGGTACCTAGAACAGTGCCTGGCACATAGTAGGTACTCAATAAATATTTGTTAGATTAATTCAATGTAAGACGCATTGAGTGACTGGACTCTTTGCTCCTTGACCACCTTAGTCCACCTTAGTTACCCACTTCCACGGCCAGACCCCTGACTTCGTCACCACTTGGGATTCCACTCCCTTCTAATTACCACGCTTCCCCAGCCTCTCCTGACTGCCTAGCTCCTCAGCTCCAGTTTCAGCTTCACTGACCCTTCTCCCACATTGTGAGTTCAGTCTTCCTCACCCTCCTTAACAGGCTTATATCCCATGAGTCAGCATTATAAAGAACCTAAAAATTCTTATCCCTTACTTCTTCCTTTTCATCTGCCCTGATGGGGAAATCTCATACCCTCATAAATTCACTACCACCAATCCTATCTGGGTTTTCAACGCTAAGGTTTCTCATGCTCTACAGTGGCTACTCCACACTAAACGGCTCCTTCGTGTATGAGTGGTGTGGTAGTGGATCCAGGCAGAGCAGGGAGGAGGGAAGCCTGTGTCTCTTGGCTGATGACCCTGTCTCCTACCTCATGGAATCCATCATTTTCCCACACCAATCTGCCACCCTTCTACATCTACATTAGTCTTTCAGGGACCTCACTCCACCACTCACCTGCATCACCAACTTCTTCCTCTCTACAGAATAATTCTCTTTGATACCCAAACACCTACCATGATCTCTCATCTTGAAAACATCCCACTTCTCCCTACAGCCTCTCCTCTGTGTCTCTCCTTGCCGGTATCAGCCTTCTCCCAGGCGTTGTCTACACACTCCCTTAGAGTTCCTCCATTTCTGTTCACTCCTCTCCTGCCCCTGCCTCTCCAGTGAAAGACTGAACCCCGCATGTCACCAACACATGTGCTGCAGCTTTCCTGGTCCTCAGCCACATCTGCCCAGTTGCCACCAACATGCCTAGAAGATGGTCTTCCCTTGGTTTCCAGGAGGTCACAGGGTCTTGATTTTTCTGCTGTTCCTCTGACCACTCCTTTCCATCCCTCTGCTGACTCCTCCTCCTGTCTCCAACCAGAATCCGTCCAGGCCCAATTTTGGCCTTCCCGTTTGTCCTCTCACCCTACTCTTCCTTTAGGTTTCACCCACTCTCATGACTGAGAGATCCTCCCCCGACACACTCATGATGCTTAGAGTTCTAGGAGTCCTCCAGACTTCTCTGAACTACAGACCCACGGCCTAACCACTGTGTGTCCTTGATCTCAAGCTAGACATTTCTAAAGCTCATCTCTGGAAACCATACCTCCACCATCCCAGACTGTAGATTGGAATCTGGGAATCTTCTTCTCCTCTTCGATTCCCCCAGTCCACAGACAAGCCCCTGTCTACACTGCCTGCTGGTGTCTCTCTACTCCAATGACTTCACTCCACCTCTCGAGTCTCCGCCCAAGTCCAAATATCTGAGTTTTTCACCTTGACTTTAGCAGTGAGTTTCACAGCTTCCTCTGGCCTAGGGGTGATCTTTACAAAGGTGAATCCAACTCAGCACTGCCCAACGCAGACTCCTAGCAGGATAGATGAGGCCCCCACCCCTACCCCGATTCTGACTCTCTCCCTACTCACTTGCAAAGCCAGTCATTGATGC